GTTAAAATTCGTGTATGTTCCTCGTTCAATTCCTAATGACGGATAGAATTATAAGAAAAATTGGTTTAGAAATTTTAAAAACAATATACCGCATCAGTTAGTTTCAATTGATCTTCTGAACGACCGAGTATATTAGACTAATGAACAAAAAACAATGAAAATTTCAGATAAAATGATTTGCAAAAGTTGGTTACATCATCAATGAAATTTGCCGGCATATTTCCACCTTCTTGATCATCATATCCTGTTAAAGAGCCACGATGAGCTTGACTGAGTCGTCGTTGAAGATTGACTCCAACTGGAACTGGTTGGGCCTTAAATAAAAACAAAGAAAGATTTGAGTATAGGAGAAATTACATATAACATATACGTACATTTTTTTTGTCGGCACCTGCTCGTGCTTTCATGGTTGCTAAAAAGAATTAAGTGTGAATGAAAAGTTTGTTTCATCTCTCCCATTCACCTTGACACTGCATTAAACATTACATAGCAACGGATGGATTAAATACTTAACATAGATGTCAGTTCATTTTTAATGTTGAAATTATAGTAATATATTATTCGATTAAAACTTTAAAAAAAATCCAATCCACATAATCGATACCGAGAATTTCATTAATTAACGGATTATAAATCAATTAGAAGGAGCCAAAAACTTCGACTATTGTTAACTTTCGAAAAGTAAAGTGTTTGATTTACAATGCTTTATACTTTAGTAAAAAGGTTGATGGATATATGCAGTATTATAGATGAAAATCGAGAAGATGAATGTACTATACTTATTTCGCAGTTAGTATCCATCTGCATCTTCAGCTTCGAAACTTAATTAGATAAAATCTTACCAACTGTAATAATCTTTTCGTAATCTAATCGCAGATAATGCATGAGAAATGAGTTTCTAGAATACCATGAAGTAACACTAACTATGTAAAATAATAGATGATAATCAGTTACTCATCGATTAAATATATGAGCTTCTATATACATTCATATATTTCCCTGCAAGTTCAATTGGTAAGAATTAATGTCTAAAAAGTCAAATCAATTTTAATTATTAAGTCATACATGAATACAAAACTTCCTATAAAGAATTTACACATACGCGGCGTCGTTTATATTAAGAATCTGATTGAATATACATAACTAATTACAATTCTTGAGAAATCTTCCAAGCCGACTAGAGTTTTCATCAGTTTCACTTCAACCGTATAACCACAAAATAAAACAATTATTTTTCCAATTCTTATGTATTTACTGAAATAAAACGGTTTATTTAAAACAAATTTTATAAAAAATTTCTTATTTAATGATACTAAATATCATAAACGTATTTATTAGATAAAATACAATCAGTTAAGTTCTCTCTTCATTAATTGAATTCTAATTATATTATTATTATTACGAAAAGGAAAAGAAATAGTTTCATCGATTGAAGTATTTTGCTCCAACTTGATTCGATGCATAATTATTATGAGTTTCAAATTCATTTTCAAACATTGTAATTTTTTTTGTTGTTCCATCTATTTCACAAACAATCCAAAAATTTGCATTAGGATTATTAACAACAGGTATTTGAACAATTTGATATGGTGTTGTCGAAGTTGACGCCATATGACCATTATTAAAAGTAACTGTTGCATTTGATTTTGTTAATAATCCATCACGTGAATAACGATGAACAACATAAAGATATTTTAAACCAGGCTCAAGTGTTAATTTAACTGTTTCAGGTCCATAACCACCTGTGACATCATAATCAAGTGAAATATTTCCTTGTACTTTAGAATCATAAAAAACATGTCTTCCATCAGATGAAAATAAATGTGAATCAAGATCACGTGGTACTTTATCCCATTTAAGAACAATTTCAAGTTGATCACTATCTAATTTTCGACAAATAAATTGTGTATTGGAATCTGAACCACGATTTTCATAAACAATCATACGAAATACTGATGGTTTATGTTTTGTATCTTTTGTATCGATTTCAACTTCATAACAATTTTTTTGTAATGTTGTTGGCATAATAACTGTACCTGTTGAATCTGTTATACCAGTAAAAACAATATTACCTTCTAATTTTAATTTAACTGTTGCACCAACAAGTACATTATTAACTGAATCTCTTAAAACAAATTTTTTTGGCATACATATTTCATTTTCTGGTACAACATTAACTACAGTTTGTACGAGGACATTTTCTGAACCTTGATCATATATTGTTACAGTGTAATTACCATAATTTTGAAAATTATATTTATCTTCAATAACTGGTTTTATAGCAATACCATCAATATTTGGATGAATAACAGCTGGAAATAAAACATTATTTGAACCTTGTGGACCATCAATTGATGTTGGAACAGATGTTGTTGTTGTTGGTACATTAAGTGTTATTGGTATTGTTAAAACAGATGGTGCTACAGAATCAATTGTTGGAACAGACGATGATGGTGAATTAGATGATGCTAAAGGTATTTTTGATACATTTGATGGTAAATCAAGTAATTGATTTTTAACAACTGAAGATAATTTATTAAATGTATCCATAGGTTGTGATGATTTTGTATGCGTTGCCATTTTTGTTACTAATGATTCGATTTGTCTCGACTAAAAGAAACCTCAAAAAATATTATAGGAAGAAAATTTAATTTTAATTAATAAACCTGTGTGGTCACGGTTGAAATAAGTGAACTAATATGTTCTGCTTGTTGTTGAATTGTAAGTAAAAGTTTCATGTGCATGTCTGAATCTTGTTGTGGCATAATATCAACTGCACTATGTGGTCTTTGTGGCATAATATCAATGGCACTACGTGGTCTTTGTGGCCTATCCTGCCCCTTACTAAATTAAAAATAATAAAAAAAAATTTTTTTTCTAATTCTGTTATAGTTACTTTCGTAATAATCTTAATGCTTTACGAAGTTTTAATTGATGACCTATTGATGGAATTAATTGATGAACTATTTCATCATCTAAACCATCTATTTCATCGATTAATATACCACCATCAATATTATTTCTTCGAAAAACTTCAACATATGGTTGTAATGATATATCACATAACCATTTAGCTACTTCTTCAACAGTCCAATTTGATGCAGCATCACGCATTGATTGTGATGAACGTAAATATTTAGTATCAAACGAAGATGATACTGATGAAATTTCACTATATACCGAAACATTATCATCATCTCGATAATGTCTAATATAGAAACATAAAATTTAACATATCTGAAGTTTATTTTTTATTTACCGATAACAATAGACAGCATAATTTTCATCATCTTTTACTTTAGCATTCACTGAATTTAACTGTATACTACATGTTTTACAACGAAAACATATTTTATGCCATGTCTGTTATGAAATAAAAAGAGAAATATATCGTGTAATAATACTCTCTATCATTCAAGGAAAAATAAAAAAGATATGGAATGATTAATTTGAATACCTGTTGCATGATCAATATTATATATATTTATCTTTGAACTTACTTTACGAGAATAATGTATTTTATCTGCTATGCTGACAACAGTAGTCGAGCAAGCTGGACATACCATATTAGTTGATGTTGTAAGCATTTTTTATTTTAATAAAAATACGAAATTACCAATATGGTTCTTCGTTTTTCTAATCAATTATATTTAAGTGAATGAATAAATAAAACAAAAACTGAAAAGGCTTTTCTTTTCTATTCTATATTCTATAAAAAAAAATGAATTAAAAAAAAATTTAATAATCTTGACTTTTTTTGCGACTTCATACAATAGAAAAAAGAAAGAATGAAAGAAAAATTAAAATAATTTTATCGTTTTTTTCTCTGATTGAGACATAAAAACATATTTGTTTATATTATCAAACTATTGATTAAGATAACAAATTAAAATCATTTCTTTTTATTCCGTGGTCAATCAAATCTTTTCATCTTCATATATATTTATTTTTATTTGAATTTGGTATATTTTTTGTATAAACAGTCTACAAAAGTAACCACAGACTTTTTAAGAACAATAATAATAATATTGTGAAGGTGGTATAAACAAGGCATCGAAGAATTTTAAAAAAAAAGATATGAAATGTTTAACCCTTTATAGCCGGGTGTTACCAAGAGGTAAAAATTTTGCCGTAGGGGGGTACGGTATTTTTTAAAAAGTCGGCCGTGAAAAATTGATCCTTATAACTAAACAACAAAGAATATATAGAAAGATAACTTTTTGCTTGTTGTCTTCTGGTAGCCGGCCGTAAAGGGTTAAATGAAACTATTGAATTTCGATGTATTGATAAAAGAAATATCAGTAATTATATTAGATATTAATTTTTGTACTTATTAATGGAGAATAACTGATTATTTTTTTAATGCGGAGAAAAATATTTATTATAAATATAGTAGATAATTTAATCATAATTTTTTTATTATTTTAACCTTCAAAATAACTTCAATAACAATATTTCTAATGAGTAAATTACGCCTCTCATTACTTTATGGATATGTTCAAGGACATGAGACATAACAAACAAACAAATCATGATGCAAACAAATACATTTTTATCATATAAAAACCCGATAAAATATGATTTATAGGTACTTTTAATTTATTCTACAAAATTATATTTGATTTAGTAATAACATTTCGTGAACAAACAAAAAATGCATTATATACAATAATGAATTCGATTTCGAGTGCCTATTACTTTTTCATTCAACCTTATATAATAGTCTTGTCATTATTCGACGGTTTCGCTCAGTATATCAAAGTATATGCACTTTATTTCGTCTTGTTCTGTAATAAAGTTATACATCGAGTATAACCGACTTTTGTTTTTTTTCTCTACCGAGTCACACGAGAAATCATATATTTAGTCAAAGTTATCAAGTATGTATGTATGGATCTTGTATTTTGATGAAAACGAATGATAATTATTCACACGTAAAAAGGTAAAATAACATGTAATTTTCTTTTTATTAATAGACTTAAAAATAACTAATATTAATAATGGCTGATTCTTCTCCTGAAGAAAATGATATCGAAGTTGACAATAAATATGCAGTAGATAATCAATCATTTACAGCTGATGATGATGATAATAAACAAACTAAAACTCATTTAAATGATATTGATAATATAAGTGTTACTTTTCGTAAAGATAGTTTAACAGTTGATATCGATCAACGACATAATTCAAGTTATCCATTAGATAAAAATGAAGGTGAACAATCACCTTATGAAGAAGTTGCAGCAAATGTTTCAAATAAAGATGATCCATCAATGGCAGTTTTAACATTTCGTTCATGGTTTCTTGGATTAGCATTTACTGGTCTTCTTTCATTTATTAATCAATTTTTTTGGTATAGAACATCACCATTAGTTATTGGTGTACTTGTTGCTCAATTACTATCACATCTTATTGGCAAAACTCTGGCAAAAATTTTACCAACAAAAAAATTTAAAATTTTTCGATGGTATTTTACTTTTAATCCAGGTCCATTTACTGTTAAAGAACATTGTATTATTACAACAATGGCTAGTACTGGAGTTGTAAGTTATAGTTTAGTGATAAAATTTCATATAATAATATTTTTCTTCTAATAAAATAGGGTACGGCTTATGCTATTGATGTACTTACTATTCAACGATTATTTTATAAACGAACAATGCATCCTGGTATGGCTATTATATTCGTTATTACATCACAGATTTTAGGATATGGTATGGCTGGTATTATGAGAAAATTTCTCGTTTGGCCAGCAGCTATGATTTGGCCATCTAATCTTGTTAATTGTGCTTTATTTCGAACATTACATAATGATAAAGAAGATCCTAGCACCGATGACAAACCTCGATGGACAATGACACGTTTGCGGTTTTTTGCCATAGCATTTATTTGTCAATTTATTTATTATTGGTTTCCTGGTTATATATTTCCAGTTCTATCTCTTTTCTCTTGGATATGTATGATTAAACCAAATAATGTTGTTCTCTCACAATTAACAGGTATTAATGGGCTAGGAATTGGTTCAATTGAATTAGATTGGAATGCATGGGTATCATTTCTTGGTTCACCAATTGTTGTACCATATTGGTAGAGAACAAATAAATTCAAAATTTTATCTTTCGTATATTATTTAATTCTAGGGCTCAAGTAAATATTCTCTTTGGTTTTGTTTTCTTAGCATGGTTAATAGCACCTGCTACATATTATTCAAATCTATGGGATGCAAAAATGTTACCAATGGTTAGTACTCGAGTATTTACTAGAGATGGATATTATTACAATGTTACTGCTATACTTAATTCAAGACTTCGTTTAAATGAAACTGCATATAACGACTATGGTTTGTTAATTTTTCTTTTATTAACGAATTAATTCGAGAGAAAAAAAACCGAATTATCTAAATAGGTCCAATTCGTATGACACCAATTTTTGCATTTTCTTATGCCATATCATTTGCTGCAATTACTGCTGTTATTGTTCATACGATATTATATCAAGGTAAATCAATTATAAAACAATTTCGATCATCTCTAAAAGATGATACTGGAGATATTCATGCGAAATTAATGTCACATTATAAAGAAGCACCAGCATGGTGGTATGTTATTATTCGAAAAAATTTATTTATAAAAATAAATGATCAATTGAATATTTAGGTATTATATATTATTCACTTTGGCATTTGGTTTAGCAGCTATTGTTTGTCATTTTGGTGATTTAATGCCATGGTATTTTCTTTTTGGTAAATTAAAATATTTTAAAAAATATAAATTATATTCTAGAATTTTTTCTTAATAGTTGCTGTCGCAATATCATTTATTTTTCTTTTACCGACGGGTATTGTTGCAGCTGTAACAAATCAATCAATTGGTAAGAAACATATATATATATATTGTTTCTATTGAATTCAATTTTTCTTTGTAGGACTTAATGTTATTACTGAATTCGTAGCTAGTGTAGCTATACCTGGTAATCCATTAGCTAATGTTACATTTAAGACATATGGATATATCAGTCAAAATCAAGCTTTATTACTTATATCTGATTTAAAATTAGGTCATTATATGAAAGTAATAGATTTAAATAAATTTATTTTTGCTAAAAAAATTTTGTTTTTTGAAGATTCCACCTCGTGCAATGTTTATTACACAATTAGCTGGTACAATTACTGCTGGAGTAATCAATTATGTAACGGCTAATTATCTATTATCGAGTATTCCAAATATATGTACTCAAAAGAATCCACGTTGGACATGTCCAAATGCAAATACATTTTATAGTGCATCGATTATATGGGGAGCTATTGGTTAATAAAATCTATTGTACAATAGAAATAAAATAATTTATATGTTTTTTTTGTCTTAGGTCCAGTGAAAATGTTTGGACCAGGATCAACATATTCTTCACTTCTTTATGGCTTTCTTATTGGTGCTATTATACCGATACCACCATGGTTACTTATGAAAAAATATCCTAATGTTAAGTGGCTTAAATATATTCATTTTCCTATAATGTTATCAGCTACAGGTATGATGCCACCAGCACCACCAGGAAATTATCCATCATGGTTGTTAGTTGGTTTTATCTTTAATTTTATTCTTGCACGTTATGCACGAACGTGGTGGAAACGATATGCATATGTATTTTCAGCTGCTATGGATTGTGGTGTTGCATTTGGTATACTTATCATATTTTTTGCTTTACAAAATAATAAAGTTGAATTTCCAACATGGTGGGGAACTGGTGGAAATACCGGAGATGGATGTCCACTTTCACATGGTAATTTTTATGGAAGAATTCCTCAAGATCGACCTCTAATAAATCAAAGTTAATTTTAGTTATGTATTCTTTTTATTTGTAAATATTTTATTTGAAAATAATAAATTCTAATGTCCTTAATCCATTGGAAGAAGATCATTTGATGCTAAATCTCGAATAAGATAAACAGCAACGCCAAAAAAAGCAACACTTTTAACAAAATCCCTTGAATAAAACAAGATAATAATAGAAAAACAACATTATCTTTCAAATTCAATAAATATTTACCATTTTGCTTGATCAGTATAAAATGTTTTAACATAATCCCATTTTGATGATTCATTAGAACGAGTCGAACCTCCTCGACGACCTGCGGAACCGCCTTCCATTGGAGCAAACATTTTATCTAAAAATGCGTCGTTTGTCAATTTAATATTAGTAACAATATTTCCTCTCGCATAGGCATCATTACACTAGAAATAGATAAGCGCGTAATTAGACAAAGGATCTGAGTCCCCCTTACAACTTTTTCTGATCAAACTCCTGGAAATAGATCGATATCATAAGATTAATTCAAAGTAAACAAGTAACGCTCGTCCAATGACTCGCCTAGCTCTTTCTCGTAGAAATGTATCCTCTTCACATTTACCGAAAAAACAATCGAAAACCGTGAAAAATTGATCTTCGATGTTTTTTTTACCTTTGTCCCTCTTCACCCCCTCCCCTTCATCATGGTTACCCAACAGATCCGAAGTCTCCGCATCAAAAAACCTCTAGAAACGTATTTTTTGACAAATCAGTTTTCGATGTTTTTTTTTGACCCTACGGACCTACAAGCAAGCAATCAGACAATTTATGTTTACTGGACTCTTCTCTATGAGAAAGAGAATATCTACAATTTGTTGAAATAAAAAATGGAAAAATTTAGACCACATCAACTATCGTATATTTACAAACAATATCATTCAAATAAACAAAGTTAACTGCAAAAAAAAAAAGAAGACACAAAATTTTTTGACTTAACATTTTAATACAAACAACAATAGAATAATACACATACACATAAAGAGCTATGCTCTAATTTCTGAAATTTTGTTTTCTTTTTTTTTTCACTAATACAATATATAAGTATATACAAAACTAATCTAATGTAGGAGATGCTTCAGAAAGCGATGATGGTGACATTGTTTTAGTTATTTCACCAGGTGATAAATGTTCTCTGGATGGTGATGGAACAAGTGGTGATGGTGAATCTGTATTATTTGCATCTAATGCTGGTGATAAAGCAGTATCATTATCTTTTTTTAATGATATATGTTTACTAGCATTTATCGTATCAGTACCAATCGGTCTTTCATTAGTAATTGGTGCTCGATTTGTTATACCATTTGTTGGTGAATGACTATTTTCATCATCATCAGATATAATCATAGATTTTCGATCTTTTATTTCTTCATCATCATATTCATCATTTGTTAATACACTTTTTCCAATAGTTTCATCAATTTTATATAATTTTTGAAGTTTTTTTTCAACATATTGTTGAATTAAATCCGCTTGTTCTAATGAACAATGACCATCATCAACACATCTAAAGAAAAAAGATATAAATTCTACAAAATAATTCTAGAAAATAGAAAATTACCTTGAAATAGTAATAAGTACAGGATCTTTTTTAATTGATTGTAAAATTTTAGCCATTGCTTCAGTTAAATAAATAACCATTTCTTCTGAAGATACATGTAACGGTGGTCTTGTATCAGATAAATGCATACCATAATTATGAATTGCTTTCCAATCTAATTTTTTATAACGAATAATAGAGATTAATGCTGATAGATAAGGATTACTAGAATGAATAGAATAAATTTCATATAAAATAAAGAAAATTATTTTCTTACTCAATAAGTACTGGTTGTTCTAATTTCGGACTAGTTAAATATTCATTCATTAATGTACGAATTTGTTCTAAGGCACTTTCACGTGCTGTTATATATCGTTGAATTTCTAAATCTGAATGATCATGTACAATACGTGTATAAACATAACGAAGAATTTCATATTCATTTTCATCTAATTGTTTACGTATAAAATCATCCGTAGAAAAAAATGATAAATCAACATCAATCATAAATTGTCTTGTTTCAAGTAATTGATCAATTAATGTTGCATCAAGTGGATAGACTCGTCGTGTTGCAGGATCATCTTTATGATTAATATCATTTCCAGATACTTTCCCTTTTTTTCTTTTATCAGCATCAAGACTTTCACTTCCACTATCATTATCATAGATTGGTGGATGAGGTTTTTCTATAATTGTCGAATAATTTTTTGCTAAACCAGCTGTTGATACATAAATATCAACTGTACGTATATTCGAAAGTTTATCATCTGATGAATAAACACAATTCGATGTAAAATATGGATTAGTGGAGACAATTCTAATAAAAAATATAAAGTTAACAATAAAACTCTACAAATCAAAATTAGTATACAAGTTCTATTTATACTGTAGCATTAGATTTATAAGCATTACCTATAATCATGAAGATAGATTCTACCTAGATCAAATTACATACATATATATATATTTCTTGAAAGAAGTTTCAAAATCATTTATCTATTATAGATCCTACAAACGGTGTTTTATCTAGGGAGTGAGCACCGCCGAACCGAAATTTCGATCCGCCCATCCAAAAAAATAAACCTGAATAAAACACTGGCTATATAGTAGAGTTACTAGAAATGATCAAGAACGGTAGAGAACTGCGGGTATGGGTCTAATAAAGAAAAGATTTTCACAGGTCTGGGTCGAGTACGGGTATAATAAATTCTGTTTTCTCGGGCCCCGGTCGGGTCCGGATCTGGGCATAGCCGGATCTGAGTCGAGTACGGGTGTACTAAATTGTTTTTTTCTTGGGTCTTGGTCGGGTTCAAAAAAAGTAAACCCACAGCTCTCTATAGAATGGAGTTTATGTTGTGTTTAACTATTAGAAACTACACCTAATTGAATGTCTTAAATTTTTATATGATAAGATTTACTTACTTTAATACTCCTGTTTCCTGACATTTACCAACTTGTAAACTATATTTTCCATCTTGAAATTGATGAGCCCATGGTGGTTTAAACCAAAAGATTTTCGTTATATATCCTCGATAAACAGCTGGAAGTATCCAACATTGATTGTTAATAGACCTAGATGAAACAAAAAATTCGTTTTTTTAAAATTAATTATCAATTTATATAATATACTCAATAAGATGATCTAAGGTTTGTATTTCATCCGCTGGTACTTTTAATGGTACAAGTAAATCAGCATAACTATCAAATCTGACTAAAGCAACATCTTCTTCTGATTTTAAATTTACTCCAATATCACGAATTAATATTGGAAAAACCTATAAATATAAATTCTATAAAAAAAAATATCCAGTAAATTTTCTTACTTCATTGTTATGTTCAACAATTTCAATTGTCAACTTATCTCTAATTCCGACCATTACATTTCATACTCTAATCAAATATAATCTAAAAAAGCAAAGATATCCTTATTATGTATTCTTTTCTATATACAAATAAAAAGAAATAGAGTCTGTTTGTTTAAAAACCATCACTTTCATTAATTAATGCTCGTTCTAAAATCACTCGTCCTTCTTTATAACGTTGTGATTCTTCTGTAGCAAATTCATACATCCAACCAAGTTTAACATCACATTTTTTACAACTTATATCACGAACAAAATGTCGACCAGTTAACATCATCTAATTGAAGAAGAAAGAGAATAATTAAGATTTATTTTTATCGAAACTTTATTTTACTCGTTCTTGTACAGGACTTTGTTTTGTATTAACAACATGACTAAATAGAAATGCTCGACCAGTTGCACCTGTAAATCTTGTTGAAACTAATTCATTACGATTTGTTAATGGTGTTTCACATTGTGCACATGAAAACACTCGTTGACCACCAAGATGTTCTAAAAAAACACGTCCCATTATCTAAAATAATTTAAATGTATTTAATAATGGTTTTATATTATATGGAAATAAAGATTTTTCATGTGCATTATTTAATTGCTCATAAAATCGTTTCATTGTTATAATTAATTGATTATAAATATCATTTCCAGCTTGATTTTTTAATTCATCACGATTTGATATCAAATATTTAATTAATCGAAGAAAAAATATTAGAAATTTTTCTCCTGTTTCAGGTGTTAATAACCAATTCATCATTGTATCTGTATCATAATCAATATAGATTAATAAATCAATAAATATATTTGAAATATTAAATCGACATTGAAGAGATTTATTAAGATTTATTTGAAATAATATAGAACAAAGATCAATAAGTTCATCATCATCGAAATCATGAAGTTTGAAATATTCGATTAATGTTTGATTATATTTTTGATTTAATATTAATTGAAGTTGGACATCCGAATTAATTAAAACTAATTTTTCTAAGACAATAATAATTGATATATCAAGTTGATGATAATTATCAAGAATATTGTTTGTTAATGGAAGAATTTTTACAAGATATTTTTCTTCAATTTCATTAATTATTAATCGTAGTAGACGAATATATTTATATTTAAGGTAAGAATCTGTTAAATTTGTTAGACAAGTTGTTAAATGATGTTGAAATGATAGATGAAGAAGTTTAGTTGGATATAGATAAACACATTGTTTAAGAATCAAAAGTAATCCACGATTTATGCAAAGATTTTCATTTAAGATTTTTTTAATAAATTCATAAAGAGAAGAATTCGAACATATCGGATGAGAATTTATTCGTATTGTTTTAAGATATCTACCAAATGCCATAGACCAATATAGTGTATTAGTTCGTTTTAATTCAATTAAAGATAGATCATTTGAAGAAACAAAAAGTTCATGAAGTGTATTTTCATGATTAAATTCTACACGACGTAATGATGATTCATTCATTGGAATAGTTTCTAAATCTTCAAGTTTTAGTACTGTCAAATTGAGATTTGCGGTAAACAAAAAAACTAAAACAAGAGATAGATGGTAAACAAATAACTAACAAGGATAATATTATTCACCAATGGTTTTAAATATCAAACCAGATGTCGCTAGTAATCAATATAATTTCAAAGTTAAAAATATCATACAGGATACGAAAATTATCGAATCATTCTATATACATATGTCTATTGTATTGAAATTAACCAACGTTACAACATTCCTTGATTATCAATAATGCTTTAGAGCCTGGTGATTGCTCATAGAATGATTGATCTATTTCTTTTCATGCATGTTAAGTAGTACGTTTATTAATTTATAAGAAAAGAGACGAAAGAAAATTCATAATGTAATAACGTCGTTTGATACTTGTTACGCTTCAAATATAATCGATTGACTCTAAAGTATTACCGGTAGTTAATAAGTGCGAAAATGTGACTGTAAGGCAAGTTGTAAAATAATTAAATGTGCACATAAACAGGCAAAAGTATTATTATCATTTAACAATATGTGACAATAAATAATGGAAATATGTTCTACGGTCAGTAAAATAATTGAAATATCAGTAAAAAATTATTGAAATACCAGTAAATATATTAATTGGTAAGTTTTCAAAAAAATCAGTAAACAATTCAAAAGTGGTCAGTAGGCTTTGTGGAAGTAGCAATGAAAAAATATGATTTTGTCAGTAAAAAAAAGAAAAGTAGTACATCTTTGCACAAGTTTATATTTTTTTACTTTCCATTTCATTTTATTTACTGATCGTTTAAATTTTATTATGGACCTATCGAATTAATTACTGACCATTTCAATAATTCACTGATTAACCATTACTTTACTGACCACTCAATAATGCTACTGATTTTTGAATTCTTTGTTTTATTAGCCGTTTCATTTATTCTACTGACCACTTAAATGACACCCATAAATAATCTATATATCAATCTATTTTCAATTAGATTGTATAACTTTGGTATTTTCTGTTGTCGAACTTAGATTAACTTTGATACGATACAACTAGTATCTATTTTATTCGTTTTCTAATCACTGTATTGTATAACTGATTGATCAATTTTCAGATCGAATTAAATAATTGAAAATCTTTCTAATGATTACTATTAGACATGACCCAAACCCAAACCTAAACTCAAACTCATATACCAAAACCCAAACTCATCAGACTCAAACAGTTGGATATGGGTCATACCTAATTACTATATTGAAAAAAATGAACTATTACTGAATACCTTATTTCTATTTGTTTACAAATCTTGAATTATAAAAATTACTTTTATCGGGTAAACGTAAAAACAAAAAAGCATATCCTTTTATTTGCCATTGAAAAAAGAAAAAGAAGAGAAGATTTTTTTATACAAAAAGAAAAAAGAAATTTATTATTATTCTTCTTCATCAACCATTTGTGGAATTTCTACTATAGAAGTTGAAAAAGATGGTTGTCGAAATTCTGCAATAGGTACAAGTGCATTATATCGACTTGGCATGTCGGATTGATGAATATTTCCAAATGGATATGTTCGACGTGTTTTTACTCGTTCACTTGATTGATAATTTACATTTGATAATGGCCGAATTTTTGCGTCATCAGAAGTTGTTAATTGCATACCTTTCACCTGAAAACCTCGAATTTCAAATGGCATTGATTGACTTATATCATGTGAATGATGATGATGTTCATTCTAAAATTTGATTAATAAAAAATTCAATGAAAAAAAACGTATTGTAATATACCATATCTCTTGATAAACGAAGTTCAGTTGCTCGATTTGTACGAACAGACGTATCAAGTAATACTCCACTAGACGCATTATTTTGTGATAATGAATGCTAAAAGAAAATATTATTTAAATTAATTTAAATATAAAATAATTTACTAATGGTAAAAGTTCTCTTGATGTATTTGTATAACGTATTGAATCTCTATACGAAGAGTTGTCTGCTCGATCCATATCTGTTCTCTATTGACAAAAAATTTATATTCTTATTTAAAAATTAAAATAGATAAAGATAAAATTTTTACATGAGTGAAATGAGATCGATTTAAATCATCATACCATTCTTGATGAACTGGACGTTGAGATCGTGGTGTATCCGATATCATCTATGAGTAAAACTATTTGCTCAAATATTTTCTAAAAAAAATTTCACTTACTTGAAGTTCTCTAGACTGACGTATGGGAACAAGTGCTCGACTTGATCTTCTTGATGGTGTTGTTCCATTAGAGTGATCATGCTAAAAAAAATATTTTTTTGTTTTTGTGCAAACTATTAACAAAACAAATGTCATTACCATAGAGTTATCATAATTATAATCGATAGCTAACCGACCATTATATGGTGGAGATTCGATAGATAATTGTGGCATTTCATCTCGATATCTTGTATGTTCAAGTGGTGGCAACTATAATAAGAAAAATACAAACAATGGTTTCATATTTACATAAATGTAATACTCATACTTTATGTACTCGTTTTCGTCGAAGATCAGAATCCCATCCTTTTCGTATCTATATAAATGAAATATAGTCATCATAATAAATAATATTAGAATTTACTGAATTTGAATTTGGTACTTTTGGATTATAAATGAAATTAACACTACGATTTTTGCTTACAGAATTCCATTTCGGTCGATTTGGTGGTGACTAAGATTAATAAATAAAATAGATCATAATGACATATTACTTAAACCTACATTAACACGTCGAAACTGATAATCATAATCCATTTCTTTCTGGTCTTCTTATACTACACAAACCGACTTTTTTGTTTTTTTACAAAAAAAGAATCTTTTTTTGTATTTGAATTGTTGAAAAATATTTTTCAGAAAAAAAAATAATTACTATAAAAGCTCTACAACAATTAGAATAATACAGTGAAATAATATTTTGAATAAAAAAAATGTAGACTATCGGATTACGTAAATTATAGTAGTACTTGTAGTTAAATAAATATGTACTTATCAATTTTAATTTTAGTAGAAAACGAAAAAAGAAATTTGATATTTTAGACAATATTTTCAATTAAATCTATTAAAATGATGTTCATAAAGTGAAGAATGTGTGACATAATCGAGAGAAAAAAGTATTCTAATTTCTTTCCTCTCACTCTGTCTTTCGTTCTTTATACAATAAATATTAAACTTAAGAAAGAAACAATTGTTTTGTTTAGAAGTATTATAAAAAAAGAAAAAAAAACTGGAGTCGTCAATAACAATGAAAAGTATGTCTTTATTCGCATCATGCTTTTATGCTCGCTTAAGAGCTCACTTTTACTTGTCAGTTTTTTTTCTTTCATCTTTTTTTTTAAAGTCCTTCATTTACTTTATTGTTGATGATTAAAGCAAAAAAAAAGTAATAGGTGTGAAGTAAAAGTGTATACAAAGAAAAAAAAACTGATTTATTATACATAGCAACCATATTACCTTTTGTTGAAATGTTTCATTGAAATTTTCTTTTACATGATCATTGAACTCTGAAGTTTGTGTTAAGAATACTGAAGAATAATTATGAATTGTTGTATTATTCATTTTTAAATTGTCGTATTGCTAAAAGAAATAAATTAATAAATTGTTTTTGTGTATATAAAAGAAAATACATTGTCTTCGGTTGATTGATAAAGATTATGTTCTGATGAAGATTTTAATTCTGTTTCAAGGTTCATTTCATCAAAATAAGTATTTCGTACGTCTGGTTCAGTATTACGACGAATTGTTTGACGAGGTATCTAAAAAACAAACAATAAAATTCGTTTTTTGTCTATTATAAATCTATTTAATACAATCAAGTAAAGTTGATTGAAAGAATAGTTTTCTAGAAGTTAAGTTTTGGAATATATATTAACAAATAATTCAGACGATGAGTTTTAGATTCGAAATCAGAAGTAAAGAAAAACAGTATCTCATGTAATATTTAGTATGAAGATCGAAATTATGCGCATACTAAGTCTAAGAGGATATAGACGCAAGTTGAGATATCGACTTTTTAGTATAAGTTTCCTATGAAACCCTATTTTATGCATAAAATCAAGGTTTCGAGTTTTGAGGTGAAACTTTGCCTATGTCAAGGTCGTAACTGGAGTAGTTCATCTACAAAGTTTCACAATTTATGGACTCATATCTAGAGAATACACTGAAAGCTTGTGGATGAGCAAAGTGTCACCTCAACACTCGAAACCTTAATTTCACGCATAAAATAGGGTTTCATAGAAAAATTCTAGTAAAAATTCTGTATTCTCTTAGGCTTTTTTTTAGTCTATATACTTCTGTTTTACCTTTTCTTCATCTTCGAATTCTTCTTGATAATTATGTGATTGATTATCATCTGAAGTTGAATGTAACGAATTTGTATTGAAAACCTAAGACATATAAACACTTTATTGAATGATGAAGAAGGTCTTCTATTTACTTTGGAATCTTGTTTATTATACAGATTTTCATGTGAATAAGGTTTACAGTGTAATGGTCTATCGAAATTCATCGAATATTCATTTGTTAAATATTCAAATTGTTTGAAGAATTGAGAAGTTGATACCTGCAAAATTTTTTATAGACATTATTTTTATTTAATTTATATATTTTTACAGATGATATTTGTTGTAGAAGTTCAATGATGAATTTATTATCTTGAATATTATTCGGATAATCAAATGATAATTTTTTCGTTGGTAGAATCATGTCTCTTAAATTATGTTCAAAAGTGTCATAAGAAATATCCTATAAGTTTCATATATATTCAATTCAAATTAATCAAAAAAAGTTTTTACAAACTTTTCTTGTTACAAATGTATTAAGTTGTTCATTCCAAGTATTCAAATGACACAGTGGGACTTGTGTCATATTATTGCAATAGAAAACATGAAAAGTTTGTTGTGTTGATAATTTTCCGGAATCATTGTTTGATGAAGGATCCACTCTCTAAAATAATCCAATATCATTATTACTATGTATCTTATTAAAAGATATACATACATGTGTAGATTTTGGATCTTGTTCAGTTGTTGTGATTAATGGTGATTTATTTTCTTCCTCATTTGTTACTGACCTATGTTGATCTGTAGATTTAATTGGTTCAATATCTAATCCATTAGTATTGGATTCTTCATTCGGTTGATCATCAAAATTCATGATATCACAAAGTGAAACAAGAGTATTTTGATCGAGTAAAGGAATTGAATTTCTTCTTTCCGGTGATGTTGGTCTTGATGTTGAAATACGTTCGTTAGAAATATCATTTGACTTAAGTGGAACAGGAAGTACTGAAGTACGACGAGCTGCACCTGTTAATTTTGGTTGATTAAATCTTGATAATCTTGCATTAGCACCATGAGGAATTTCAGACTGACGTCGATTAAGATTAGTTGATGGTTGAGTAACAGGTTCATGAGGAAACTCAGATTGACGTCGATTAAGATTAGTTGATGATTGATTATTAGGATCATTTCGTAATGAAGCTGATCGCTGTCGAGTTAGAGTTGATTGTTTATTACCTGAAGGTGGTCGTTTTACAATTGAATTCGTATTTTTTAATGATGTCTTATTCGAATCTTTATTTTCTAATGCCATTAAAGATGAATTAAAATGAAATGATGATTTTGTTGATTTTGGAATTGGTTCTACTGTATTTACATTTGACATTTTTCTTCCTGTTGGATGATGATGTGTAGGTTCTTTATCGTTAGTTTTTATGGGTTGAGTTTTTGTGCTGCTGTTGTTTTTATTAGCTGAAGTTGGTGATGTTTGTTTTACTGTTGATGTTGAAGGAACATTAGCAATATCTTTTGTTGTTTCATCATTCTTTTTATTTTCTTCTGTTTCTTTATCATTTTCTTTTTCTTTATTATTTTCAATTGTTGATTGTTGTTTTTGATGAGGATTCAATAATGTATTACTTGTATTATCATCAGGTATCATATCATTGGAAATTGGTACTGCAAAATTACTAAGATCAAGTGATATAAGATCTTCTTCACCTTCACCATCACCTTCATTTCCAAAATCACTAAAAAAATAACCACCACCAGCAGCATTATTATCAGAATTTTTATTTATTAGTTGAGAAGAAGAATTTGCTTCAAGTGTTCTTATTGATAGACGAGCATGTTTAAGAGGTTTATTAAACATTGTATTGATTATATCATCATCAGTCAGATCCGATGGTTCATGTTGATTAGCAGTGGTAGGTTCAGGTATAACTTCAACTTTAGGTTCTGGTGCAGTTTGAATAAGTAATTCAAAATCTTGAGTATGTAATTGATCTACAGATACCATATCAGATAATGGATCGACAACAGTAGATGAATGTTCAATATGTATTGCAGATGGATAGTCTGAATCAAATTCTTCTGTTGATTCATTATTTCCGGCTTTATTCTTTTTAATACCATATGTTGGAACAAAATTTAATGCACGATCTAAAGGTAAAGGAGATTGTTCTCGAAGAAATTCATTTGTAGTTAATATTTCATCTTTTGATGGTGGAATTTCTTCAAGTTGTTCTGTTTGAAATTCTGTCTTATCAGTATCTTCTTCATCAGTATCATGTTCTCCAATTTCTAT